GATTAAAATCTTCTGAAGTTCTTTGATGAAGGTGACATGTAACACTGTCATGTCAAAGGCCAGAGTCTTTGAAGTCAGGTGCATGAATTCAAAGATTGTTCCAGATTAAAAACAAAGGTGAGTCCTTAGGCTAGTTCTAGGAATGGCAGAAAGTTGGGGTGTCAGGAATTGATGGATATTGCATCAAAATATGAAGATGATATCAAATTGGGATTGGGGCTGGTGCGTGAATGGAATGAGCTGGAGGAAGTGGTGGAGGTGGTACAATTACAATGTTTAAAAGGCATCTGGATGGATATGAGACAAGTGCTGGCAAATGGGACTAGATTATTAAGATATTGGTCAGCATGGCCGAGTTGGACCGAAAGGTCTGTTTCCTTGCTGTATAGCTCTATGATTCTAGCTAATAACGTAGAGGACTGCATCACAATACAATAAGATACAGACTTTCAAAATAGGCAACTAAATGGCAAATGAAATTCAATGTGGCGACGCATCTAAGTTGCAACATTAAACTTCATAAAAGTATTTTATTGGCTCTGAAGCACTGAGAGACATCCGTAGTTACAAAAAGCAATACAACTGAAGGTAATATTTTTCTTTTCAGATGTGAGATGTCTCAGTTTAGTAGCAGAAAGAGGCCGCTAATGTCTTGGAAGGTAAGGAAGATAGAGGAGCAAAGTAATCTGGGAACACAGATGCACAAGTTGCTTGAATAGCAATATACATTGATAAAGCATGTAGATTGGTTCATTTTTTAGAAGAATGAACTTGAAACATTGTGTGGATTCTTCTTGATAGCATCGAAGTTGTCAGCGATATAACAGGAAGTCAGTGACACTTTCCCTCAGCTGGAATCGCTGGCCACACACATTCAAATGGTGGTCAGCCAATTAGTTAGGCAAGTTTGAGGAGCATAACAATCTGTCAGTAGGGGCAGGCAGGAGGTTGGCACCCTTGCTGTTCCTCCATGGGACCAAGTACCATGTTTAAAGGCACAAAGATAGGCTATGTTCAAGGAGTGGTACTCTGGTTCACTAAGTGGTTATCTATGGCAAAACCATCTGATCTCTATCCACCGATGTCTTCTCTGAGACATGGTTGATGTTAAGAGAATAGCCCCATGGTTTAGTGACGCTACAATGTATGTTCTATACCAGGATGATTGGAAAAGGTAGGGTGTCCTGTTTCCCGAGGATGGCCACAGGAGGCTCTCTTGCTTGTCCAGACAACCTGGATGAAGGCTGCAAGGCTGATTAGGAGCTGCAGAGCCCACAGTAGAACCTGGGTCGAGTGCCAAAAGATGAAAAACAAATCTGCTGGATTCCACAAGAGTAAGTGGCACTCTGTAGATGCAATAAAGGTGACACTCTTGAGGGTTCAAGCAGTGTAAGTGGTTGCATTTTTTTTTATTCATTCCTGGGATGTGAGTGTTGCTGGATGGGCCAGCATTTATCGCCCATCCCTAATTGCTCTTGAAAAGGTGGTGGTGAGTTTCCACCTTCTTCAACCGCTGTGGGTGGATCCACAATGCCATTAGGACAGGGATCGCAGCAGAGTGCAGAGGGATGTCAAACAGGAGTTTGGGTTGGAGGCCTCAGCATCAAATCAAACATGTCCTTCCTTCCCAAATACATGCCCACCATTCCAACGATGCCTCTGTCCTTAGACAATCCTGTTCTGTGCCCGTTAGACTGCAGCCTACCTCCCTAGGGCAGCCCTGCCCTGTTGTCTTTTGAGTGCTGCTACCTGGTTGGAATCATCACCTGTCATCATCTTCTCTAAAGAGAGAAAAACTGCTGCTGCTCACTCCAACTCCAACAAGTATACTATCTCACCAACTGTCCACCACTTATATATAGTTATGAATCTGAAGACATGTATTTCTCACTTGCATATAATGTAATTGGAAAGATCTGCCTAATATAGGCAAGATTGCCCTTTAATAAGCACACATGACATGCAGATGCGTGTAAATGGACTTTCTGATGCTTGTTATTGGAATACCTTTGAATTTTTGCAAGCTTAGTTTTATCCCACCATTGAAAAGCTGATTTTTCACTCTCATATAATTAACTTTCCCTGCCTGCCAAGTTTCCTGCTTCCAGAAGCAGCACATGAACTTTATCTCTCTCCACAAATGCTGCCCGACCTGCTGAGTATTTCCAGCATTTTTGTTTTATTTAAAAAAGCAGTGAGACATTGTTACATATTTGCAGAAACTTGGTTGGATCACACAAAGTACTGTGTACAATTCTCATTGCCATATTAGAAGCAAGATATTGAAGAACCGGAGATTTACAAACATGTTAATGGAATTGAAAGGATGCAACTTTCAGTGAAGTGTAATAAATCCGGGCTCTCTTTCTCTGGGGGAACAAAGACTTAAGAGAAGACCGAATTCAGGCAGCTTCATCTGTAACCAGTGCCACATCTAGGTGGGGTCAACCATACAGGCATAGGCAATAGTTCCTTCTTTGGCTTGATTTTTGGCTTCATTTACAGCTCTGGAAAGTTCTTTGGAATATTTTCAGTGTTTGAGGTGACACAGAATATAAAGGGTTTGCTGTTTGTACAAGGGAATCACTGAGATTCCTACTCACCATTGAAAAAGAATGAGGTGGTGGCTGGGGGGGGGAAGAGAAGTAAAGAAGGGAGTCCCAATCATGTCAGTGATTATTTGTGAATAAAGTTTTTTTTATTTTTATTAGGACAATATTTTCTAGTTTCTAATTTGTTGAGTCACCTTTGTGTTTTTGGTAGGTAACCATGGATATAACCACGGTTATCTACCATGAATTTATCTTGATGAGTTGAATTTTCAGAGTTAAAATCTTACACGGGCAAAAGATAGAACTGGTGTGAGACTGCATATGTGCAGATGGATCACAGCGGCAAGTTAGTGATAGGAATATACACTCCGAAGTAAGTTCTTTAAAATTACCAAGGAGTTCAACAGGACGGATGAGGAGAAACTGTAAACTTGTGTATGAGTCCAGAACAGGGAGAAATAAATATTAGATAGCAACTAACAGATCAAATAAAGAATTTGTTTATACAGCATAGTGACAAACTGGACATAGCTGCCACATGGAAGAGCCAAACCTGATAGCTTTGCTACATTTGTATGTCCCAAAGACTGCAGATCATACAAACAACACATCCTGACGTTTGCTGGATAATCCCAAACGTATGAAGAGTTACACTGACACCCAATTTAAAATAGATATTCAGGCTCACAGTGTGATGCATCTATGTGTATTTAACGCTACATATTAATATACCGGATCCTGTTTTTTGCAGCCAGAAAGGTCACATATATCACTCTGCCGTTTCAACTCAACAAAATATGACAACCATTCACTCGTTCATTTCTCAGGATAATACCTTGGCCTATTAGAATCAAGTAGCCTGGTTTAAAATTTAAATACGGCCTGGCAATTAACTGTTAAACATCATTTAACTGGTATATTCTCCATGACAATGCCTCTACCAGAATCCACTTACCAACAATCCACATTCTCCTCTCATACTGTATAAATGTTAGCCTAAATTGGTATTCTTGCATATTGTCCTGATGAGTGCAAGATGCAAAGCTTTGAGAAAATATTTTTTTTTTAAGGAGTACTAAATGAAAATTTCTGTTTTTTTTTAGCAGTACTAAATGAAAATTGTTACAAATTGATTATTCTCTACATTCATAAGAAACCAATTGCTTGATAGTGTTAAATAAACCAGCAAAGGGGAGTAATCAATTTTGCTTGATCACCTATTATGGCAACTTTCTTCATAAAATTATCCAAAGCATCTGGAATACATATGATGCTATTATCCTCCTTGATCTTTTGACAACTAAATTCCCTCAGCACCTTTCATAAGAGGCCCATTTCAATCACACATCTGCAAGATTTAAAGAGAAAATTCCAATCGTGTACAATACGCATGATTTGGCCAAATTGCCAGGCTGTCTTCTCAGAACTGCGTAAACTGAAACTTTTAAACCAGGTTGCCAAACACCCCACCCCCTACTATCTTCAAACGTTTAAAATATTAATGTAACAGATTGCCAGCACTTGAGTTTCAACAGCCATAAAATGGAAATCACCAAAGCAATTCAGTTGGAAACTTGGGGATTTCTCATTTTACAACTTCAATAGGAATTTGATACATTAGTTTATCCTCTTCCGATGTTTTAGTGTATTGCATAATTCCCATCAGGCCAGACTATCCTTCCAATTTTTTTTAGACAGAAGGTCTATTTACTCTTTTCACATAAACCACTTATTTACCGATTTTTCCGACTTTCAAAGTATGTTTCACCCCTCCATCTTCCCTATTTACAAAAAAGTTACAAGGGAAATATTATAATGCAGAATCACAGACATGTACAGAAACAGGGATTAAGAAGGCTATTACTTAATTCAGACAATTTGGGTCAGTTTGAATTTTGCTGAAATCTGGGTTAATGGACAATTTAATGAAAGACATCATAGTCCTCATCATCCAGTTAACAGAAAAATCCTACTGACAATTACAATGTGAAGTATGAATCAAACAAGTGCCAGACACTAATCCAATATTTACTTCTCTTCTGAAAAAGTCCAAACAGTCAAATTAAGCAAGCACATTCCTAAACTTGACAAATTTGAATGATCAAAGTCAGTTTCCAACTTTCTGGGTGGATCAAGACGACGTTTATTTTGCTTTAATCACAGAAGACTCTTAATGATGTTTATCCTGGCAGTCACACCAAGATTAAAAATATGCAGCATGCCTTTTCTCTAAAAAACTCAAACCCCGATTGTCATTCAAGTTATAAATTAAAAAGATTACTTAAGCATGGTAGCGGTTTCGAAGTAAACAGAATAGTCTTTGGGGAATGACCAATATTTGCTACTCACCAGAAATTTACTATATTTGTATCAAGGATCACCAACTTTGCCTCATTTTCTCTGCAATGATGAGGAAATAAGATTTCAACATTATAAATTATCAATTACCTCCTGATCTTCAGTTTTGCTCTTTTTCTTTTTCTTCTGTTGCCTCTTCTCTTTTCTCTTCTCCAAGTACTGTTCCCATGGAGTCAGCACATTATCTTTCTCCATTTTTTTCTTTACTATTGCTTCTGTTGTTTCTTTCAGCCCTGAAATAAGACAGAACATTTCTAATTGCATGCTAAGATGTACAATACTTCACAGAGGCTCCCCTTTCAAAATTCACTTATGACGCAAAATGTTACACTATGCGAAGTCATCGGATATCACAGCATCTGAATGACGTGAGGAATCATAAAGAAGTGTTATTAAGGATGGTCCTCTGGACTGTGGATATCTCATTGACCCAGTCGCTCTTTCAGACCAAGCTTACAGCATTTGTTGCTGTAGTTTCTTTTGTCAGTCCTGGGGAAAAAGGACAATCCTCCTCTCCAGCACCCAGTCCACCAGGGCCTACTGGTGAAGCAGGGTGACGATTTCCCCATTTTAGCATTGTCCTTTGGAATGGGTAGTTCCTGGCTGGCAGCTTTTGAAATGGTGGGCAGCTGGCATTTAAATATGGTGGCCTTGGAGTGAATGTCAGAAGATACTGGCAACTGGTTGACATTGCTGCCTCTGCTGATCACAACGCTGCAGAGGAGGGATCCATAATTAATGGGGTGAACAGTGGAGAATTGTGAAAGAAAAGGTCGGAGGGGTGGGGGTGGAATCCCCCCATGAAACTCCCCAAAATTGATACTTTGCCAAAATACAGGAAGGTTCAGCCCATTATGTAGGTAGGAAAGCAGTGGGCAATTTTGTCAAAGATAGTAGGAACTGCCGATGTTGGAGTCAGAGATAACACAGTGTGGAGCTGCAGGAACACAGCAGGCCAGGCAGCATCACAGCAGCAGGAAAGCTGACGTTTCGGGTCAGGACCCTTCTTCAGAAATGGAACAATCTTGTCAATTGTTATCAAGTTATCCTGATCACAAACCAAGGATGAATTGCGCAGTGCAAAACTGACTCTATTATGAGTAAGCAAAACATTACTGTGTACCATCAACAAACTATGGGGAAATCCTGGCTGGCAACATTTGAAATGTACACAACTGCAAAATTCTTCTCCATAGAGGACTGTCAAGGCTGAATTGATAAGTATACTATACACTTAAGCTGGACAGATTTCTAATCATTAAGGAATCAAGGGTTATGAGACTGAGGCAGGAGAGCAGTCCAGAATTATCAAAATTAGCCACGTTCCCATTGAATCACAGTGTAGCCACAATAGGCCGAATGGCCTACTTCTGCTCCTAAGTGTCATGGTCTTGTTATGGAGACTATCCAATCTAAGCCACTATTTTGGACTGTTGAACACTCAGTTGTAACCAACTCTCTCAGAATTTACACCGCATTACTAATTCAGAGTTTGGACTCAGTGTTCCTTCTCGTTGGGTGCAGGTAAGCTGGAGAGGACCCAAACTGGGCTTTGTATAACACAAAACCACCTGGATTGCTGGGTCCAATAGCGTTCCCAGTTTTCGGGCTACAGGCCTCAATTTCATTTGATTTACTTACTGTCAAGTGTATCTTCTGATAAAACTACAGTGAAAAGCATTGTACAGTGTCGCCACTCTCCAGCAATACCTTAAAATACAGAAAAACAAACCAAAACACACAATATAAAGACATTAAAAAAAGTAAAGAAAGGGTGTCCAACTTTACAGTCCTTATTGTTAACTGCTCCGTCAATTTGCCGTGGGCCTGGTGGCCAGGCACGAGCCTCCTATGCTCGTTGCTCTTCAGCACCTTCTCACCTCTACTGACAACCCAGCCACTATGAATTCTCATTGGACCTCACCAAAGCAGATGCCACTGATGCCTCTCAGTATCGTACTGGCCCAAACTCAACTCCATTACTGCCATGAGTCCGCTTCAGGCCCACTCACCAATGCAGCTACAGATCTCGTACTGGGCCCAGGTCACTTCAGCCTCCTACAGCCTGCACTGGACGCTGACATCGTCAGGAACCCGAACTCGCCTCCGACATCGCTGCCGCGAATCCACGCTGCCAGGCCTATGAACTGCTGCCAATGCCGTCACCGTGACCAAGCTCTTCACCAACAGGTAAGTAAAACAAAATAAACGAGGGGAAAAAAGGAGAAAGAAAGAAAAGAAACAAAAAGAAAAGTGGATGGAGCAGACGAGCCCCGGGCTCTGAAGCCCTACTCCAGCACCATCTTACCCGAAGCTCCTGTCCCTTAACTCTCAATCAGCAGCCAGAGACCCCCACCCCAATCTTCATCCTGCTGGAACCATACAGGGTAGTAATTTACCTTCTGGTCTTTCAAAACCCACTCGTATTCTGTGATCTAAATGGAGCTGGATGCAACGTTTCTTTCTGGTGCTTCTGCAGAAGTTATTTTGAACCCAAAAGGACGGTAAGGGTGTGAAGTCACATGAGAGTAGTTTCACCTCTTTTTCTTGGCTGTCCAAAGCTCAACCAAGCACTCTAGTTATCCTTCAATATTCCTAGGAGATCTCTCAACAATACTAATGGGGGTGAAGAACAATATTTGAGGCCTGATGCACAGGTCTTTTTCAACATTTCCCATTTTCTCAATTTCCTATGGTACGCTTCTTTTTGCTGCAGCTATTTGTAAGGCCGTTGTTTCTCTCACCTTTAATATTCCTTTCCGTTTTCTCATGCAAGACATAGGCATCAGTACTGACTCAGTGACATCATTGGTGCCCAAGTCAGAGGTTGGATAGCTCAAGACACACTTCAGAGAACTGAACACGTGAAATCGAGACTCACACTTCATGGCAGCAGTAAAGGAGCTCCATACAATCAGTGCTGCTGCCTTCAGAAATATTAAATTCTTTCAGGTGGAACATAAAAGATTCGTGAAGAGGAGGAGGGAGATTTCCTTGGCCAACTTGATCCCTCAAAAAATGTCAATGAAACATATTATCTGGACATTTATCACATTGCTCCTGGTGGGTCCCTGATGCGCATCAACTGTTTATTGCCTTTCCCCACATTACTTCCAAAAATACTTCAAAAGCACTTTAACATTTTGTGCAAACCTTTACAATTGCCTCAGGTATATTTACATTCATGGTGGAAATGGCTACAGCCTGAAAACTGGCTGTTGTTTTCCAAGGTGATGATGGCAGCATTGTCAGTTGTTGCACTATACTATGCTCATCCAGAGCAAAACTGCTAGTCCAAACTGACCAGTTGAGAATTGATTTTTAAACAGAAATGGATTATGTAGTAAATACCAGAGATGGAGACCATAATGAAGTCTGTCATGCAAAATAAAAACCTGGCATTTCTATTTGGGAGTTCCTGATTATTTGTAACTCTCAATTCAATAAGGTCAAACATCATCAGTTATTATCATTGTAAAATTTTAAGCCACATTCTCATATTCTTGCACGTGCAAATTTTAATGATGTCCCTTCGACAGGAGATTCCTGAGCTACCTAAATTATTCAATACCAGAGAATAAGAATACATCCAGTATGTAAACCTGGGGAATGGCAGTTTAGTAGCAGATCCTTTCAGATCTCAATTCTCAACACCCTGGATAACTAAACCAAGATTTTTTTTGAAATTTCTAGCAACAACTAATTGACATTTTAAAAAAAAAAATTTTTTGTAACAATGGTATAAACTAATTGTTATTTTAAAATAGGATAACATCTCATCACTGGACCCAATTTTATTACTAATAGACAGCATATGGTCCCTCATAGACTGGACCGTCTTATTTGGTCCATTCACTTAACAATTTTTATTCAAAAACAGAAGTTTCTGGAAAAGCTCAGCAGGTCTGGCAGCATCTGTGAAGAGAAATCAGAGTTAACGTTTCGGGTTAAATGATCCTTCGTTCTAAGGAAGGGTCACTCGATCTGAAACGTTAACTCTGATTTGTCTCCACAGATTCTGCCAGACTTGCTGAGCTTTTCCAACAGTTTCTGTTTTTGTTTCTGATTTACAGCATTCCGCAATTCTTTCGGTTCCTAACTATGTTTATTCTTCCTTTCCCAAATTAATTTTACTTCTGAGTTCTGAAGAAGAGTCACTGGACTTGAAACATTAATTCCATTTCTCTCTCTGCTAATGCTGCCGGACCTGAGTTTCAAATTTTATTTCTATTTCAAATCAAGACTGTTTAACATCATAGCAGAGCATCTACAAGAATTTGCTGGCATAATTCAGGAGATTGATCGATATTATTACCAGAGATCAATTTCCAGGGGTGAGAAAAAAGTATTCTGGATTTCACATTTTCAAAAGGAAAATTTAAATAGTCAACTCACTCATCTTTCTTTAAACTCATTACCATCAAAGGGCCAAAAGTGATCTTTTCCTTGTTTCAACTGGCATGGCCTTTGGCTGATGCTGGTATTAAAGTCCTACTCTCTGACTCACTTATCTATGAATTGCAATTCTCTCATATCTCTAAACAATCTGATGTCTCTGTCTGATGTTCAAGAAACAAGTTTCATAATTTCTATTAGCTGCTCTTTGAGCTTTGCAATCTTTTGCTCTTTCTGGGATTTGTGCTGTAGCCAAGTGTTAGTACATCTATCAGTTCATCCGTTACCATTCCAAAGGCGTTGGACAAAGTCAGAAGGGCAGCATTTCAGCTTAAACAAGGGATGTCAGAAACCACAGTTAGCGATGTTCATTCACATAATGCTGCCCTGCAGCTTTAACATCTGGTACCTTCCATTTATTAAAACAAACAAAGTAGGATAAACACCCGAGAAAGTATTGTGTTTGGAGCTTTCGTAGGCATACATTGCCAGAGGGAAATTTGAGCATTATAGAAACTTATCCTGAGCCCATATATTAGACTGCAATTTTCAGTATTTGCTCTACTATTTCTAATATCACATCTTTCAAACTGTCACAATTTAGGTTTCTTTCAAAAAAAAACAAGATTGTTTTGTGTCTAAGGAATGTGTCTAAAGGAAGCTCAGCCTTATTCTGGGGATTGTAACTGCATTAATACAGGAGGGGAATTTTGCTGTTACCTGAAAGAATTCTAGAAAATATTTTGGATTTCACTTTCACCAAAACAAAGGAGAAATAGCTGTGAACACACAGCTTTCTTCTAGCTTATCTCAAGCGAGGGGTCCAGAAAACTCACTA